AAATAGCCTTGACTGCCCATGAACCCTGTTTCGCGGACAGATTTCTGTTTTTGTGGAGTGTTCCATTTTTTACCATGAAAATGCATGATTTGGCTTTGGAGGTCTTCATAAGAAATATAGGTATATGTCTTGGCTTCGAAACGCCATAAGATACATCTCAATCAGATTTCGGTAGCCTGAGTTATTGTCATTCAATCATAGTATGGTTAACTAGTCTGATTGTGAGATTTTGGTTCTGTAATTTGAAAATTTGATCTAGATACACTACGAACTGGACTGAGTGATCTTTATCAAAGTTGTATCTCTGTTTCTTAGGTTCGAAATGATATAAATTGTACCCCAATCCAATAAGCGTAGCTTCAGTTGTGACCGATACGCTAAGAGACGTCAAACCTGCTATTTAGCTGTTGTCCTTAAAACTTGATTTCCAGTTGCATTCCTAGACTTGCTTTGTATTTGGATGAACTTGAGCCTAGTTGAAGGGCTATTGTATTGAGATTTCTTATGTGTTGGATTGGATTGAGTTGAGGAAAAATAATGAAGTCATAAATGGCTGGAATATAGCAAAATACAGAGGGCATGCTGCCCAAAATTTTAGGGCTATGCGATTCCTTCAAGTTGAGTTGATCTTAGTAAAAATGAAGGGTTTTGGGGGTTGTTTGTAACCCTACGACCAACTGTTATTTTTTTGCTCAAAAGTCATATTTTATTCTTTTGTACTAGTACTTAATCTGGAAAGGCGTACGACATGTAGTCGAGCCTCACTTGTGCATTCCGTTTACTCGATTTTGAATGTGAAACTTTCAATTGTTTTACTTTGGTGATTTTAGGGTTTCTTGGCGATTAAAGCCAGTTTGAAGTGAAAATTTTCGAAATATCTGTATTTGAACCGGTGAGTGTACCACTCCCCTGAATTATTGCTAAACTAGTTATCTGTACTTGCAAATTGCTATTTGAATGTATTTCCCGGCTGTTTATTTTGTACGAGACGAGGGTATACTTTATCACACTCGCTCTCTGGCCTGTGTGACTTGTTTCCTGTATATACTTGAATCTGTTACCTGCGCCTGATATAATGTCGTTTGGAAGTGCATCCAACGACCTTCCTATTAAATCTAAGCTCAACCTCATGGGGAGTTGATTGAATCGAGCCAGCAAGGGCTTGGTCGAAGAAATTGACAATCCATGGGTGCCTATTCCTGGGGAATCTATGGATATTGGAGACTCTGGATTTCCGGTTTACTCGATTATTACCATTTTTGTTCCTGTTTTTGGCATTAAAGTGGTATTCTACTGGACTGGTTCCTTTATTTGAACGTTGACGGAAGGTCAACGAGACTGGATCAAGTATGGCAATGGGGATTTGGCTCCTGAGAGCCACCTGTATCCTTTACATTGTAGTGTTCATTCATTTCTCGTATTTGATGTGAATAAGTGTCTTAAAAGTGATTTCTCATGATTTCTACTGTTTATACTTTTGGTACCTCATTAAGCTTCTAACTCACCTCGTTCCGTTATCCTTGTTTTCCTTACAGGGAACCATCTTTTGGACTAATGATCATTTTGAAGAATGAGTTGAGCTTGTATAAATACCTTTTTGCTTAGCTCCTTGGAAGTTGGAAAACCCTAAATGTACCTTGATCCAAATATTTCCCTTTTGATTTGTAAATTTGAAACGTATGTGTATAAAACTGTTTAACCATGTTCATGTATCCTATTTGGTTTGGAAATGTTTTCTCCTGAGTTATATAACGTTATTTGTATTCGATTGGATTTTGGCTGGATGGTGATGTGGCAGTCACTATTCATTTGCGGTTCCGATTTTTTTTTCATTTTCGTTTTGCGATTTTGAATCGTGTAAGCGCGCTATTTTCCTTCGGAAGGTCTTAGATTGTGTATAACTATCTTAGTAGTTCTAGCGAGAAGTGGGCAGGCAGTCCGCTAACCCCTTTGGTACGCCGTAGGGGAAGATGGGGCTGTCACAAGCACTAAATGTCACTTCTGAAGCCATTTTACTGATAGGAATGGCTAAAATATTAGCAGCCATCTTAGGTAAAATTTTGTATTTTGTCGTGCCTTTTTACAATTTTAAAGCATCTAAATTGACAATATCCAAGCTCGAATCTTCTGTGGCAATAAGAAGACCATCTTCAAAGTAAGTATCCTGTTTACTCTTCTGTAGTTGTACATTTTCTACAGTAGCAATATGAGATAGAAATTCACTCACACCTATAAGATGCGTTACTGTAGAAGATGTACTACTACTACTCTTATTAACTAGATCATTTATTACTATTTGAGGGCTCACTCCAGAACCACTTGAAATATCAATATAGACACATAGCCTAATGTACATAACTATAAATGTATTATTTTTAAATATGTCATGTATAATTAGACTATTAATAATCAGTATTGGTTTTGAAGATAAAAAAAATTAGTTTTGAAGAGACTAAGATTCATCAAATAAATATATTTAAAGAGAAAAACCTATTAGTAGTCCATTAACTAATTATTATTACTCTTAGTCCATAACACGATCTAAAACTGAAAGCCCTATTACTATTGGTTTATATACTTTTAATGAACTTTTTATTAATTTATGTGTAGTTTGAATATTGCAGATTACAAATTAATTTTACAACTTAATGGTTATTGTAATTATATTAAGGAAATTAAGAAGTAATAAGCAAATTTGGATTAAACCCGAATTAGACTCAAAGCCCTCATCCAATGTGAACCAAATATGAGTTTCACATATATAAGCCCGAAATTCATGGTTTGAAACCCAAATATCTTGATAGCTAGGTGAGTCAAGTCTAGACTTATCAAAGACCGACTTAGATGGCCAAATTGACGGCCCTATCGGGTTGTGCCTTTATTTAGGTAGCAGTGTATTTTCACGGTCGACTAAAAAATAACAAGTTGTGGCATTATCTACAGTAGATGCAAAGTATATGGCAACTACATATAGTGCTACTCAAGTATTATTGTTAAAAAGAATGTTTGGTTTTCTATGATATGAATAAGATGGTCCTATTAAGATTTATTGTAATAGCAAATCTGCTATTGAATTATCAAAGAATCCGGTGTTTCATGGCGAAACAAACACATTGACATCAAGTTTTACTTCATTCATGAACTAGTTTAAGATCAGGATATTGTCATTGACTATTGCAAAAATGAAAATCAAGTAGCAGATATTTTTACGAAACCATTAAAGGTGAAAACATTTTTCAAGTTGAAGAAGAGATTTGATATGGTGAAGAAGATGTTTGGTGAAGTCTGAAGATCTTCATTTAAGGGAGGCAATGCAGGAATTAGATCAAGATTACTTTTGTTAGTAATAGGTTTGGCTATGCATGAGTCATGATTTGAATCCAATTTGTCTTTGTTTCCCTTGTTGGTTCAGATTAGTATTTGTTAGTTAGGAAACTAGTGAGTCTATACATGTGTGTGTGTGTCTATACATGTGTGTGTCCTTTGTTTTGTTTAAGTGTGTGCAAGTACCGAGATAGTCAGTTTATTAAATAAAAATCGTTCAAGTTCCATTCCTTCATTTCTTAGTTTTTGGCCTCAGAAACTCTTTTCTTTTCTTTCTTAATTGAATTGCGAATCCTTCTGGCTTATATTGATTCGAGAACCTTGTTCATATAATAAATGTTTTAAGGGCCTACACCATCACATTTGCCTCCATTAAACGATAGAAATTTTTAAAAAGACAGTAGAAGGAATGCAGGTCTTTAAATTATTTAAAATTTCCTATTTTGGTCACTGAATTTTTTTTTGGAACCAAATGGTCGTTCAACTAATAAAGATATACAATTATGATCTCTCTATTAAGATAACATATATTTTTTTGGTCCAAAATATTTTTTATTGGTTGAGAGATCGTTTTGAATAAAGAAGAATTTTGCTGTCCAAAATAAGAAATTTAGAAAAGCTTAATGACCATGTGTGCGGTTTGCTCAGGCAAAAAACATATATATGGCTAATCTTGACATTCTTAAAATAATTGTCAATACATATGTTGGAAAATCATTAAATTTCTACGTATTAGGACATTCTATTTTAGCATATGCTAAAGAATTCCTTCCGTTCATCAATATCAAGTACGAAATACAATGAGGGTTTTAGATTCCATAGATGATTATGTTTTCTAAATGTGCATTGCATATCATACTTTTAAAAAAATCATAAAATTAACTATTCATGAGTAATGGGTGGCCAATATATATCTTACTATAAATAAAGAAAGATCGGGGAGCTTGGGATAAATAAATTGCATCATTTAATGTATTACCTAATTTACTCTTATTTTTAAAAAGAATTACATCATTTTAACTAACCACGTAATCCACCTATCTACAACCACTCCACATGTGTTGAATTAACTATAACTCTCCTAACAAAAAACTACCATTTTCCTAAAAATACTAATATAGTTGAACTCTTTTAAATTAATACTTTTGAACAAAAAATAAATTGAATCTTTATTACTATCTTCTTTGTTAGTTGCACACCGTCAAGCACTAGTATTGATAAATTTGGGTATCTTGATCAAATTGCCAATGCCAAAAACAAGGGCTTTGTACCCTATCTAAAGCTACAAGAAGGGTCTAACTTATCATCAAGAAAGGCTTAACTTATCATCAAGCATTACAATTCCCTATCCAATCTTTCTAAAAAGGAAGAATTTGGCATATTACAAGTTCTCAAGGGATAAGATAATCTAGAAAGCTAATCACTAGTCAACTGCACATGAATCAAAATATGCAACCGGAAATGAGGCCTCTCCAGTTTTAGTTCTTTTCAATTGTGTAAACTGATAGAATTTTAGTATAAATTAGTACAATTTTGATGTAAATATGCATTATAATTGAATTGATATAAAAATTATGAGAATAATAAAAATATGTTAGTTTATATCAACATTATACCAGTTCACAAAATTGGACAAAACCTCAACTGGAAAGGCCCCGAATCCCAACCAATCTCAGTAATAAATCTTGTTTTGTCACATTTCCTTTTGTCCCTAAGTACTCCATTTGAAAAGGAAGGAAAATGTTGTGTTCACCATCACTATATCCGAAAAAACACACAATTATAAGTTTTAACCCCACCTTTTCTCATACAACAACAGAGGCCTTTGAAGGATTGCCAATGATCTCGCCTTTTACTTTCATGCATTCTGCCTTTTTCTGACCATGTTTTGCAACCTGCACTGTTAAAGACTCAAAAATGTTCTCCAATTGATTGATTTCTTCTTGGATATCATCAACTGAAGGATCACTCAAGGCTGATGCTGCTATTTTTTCTTTGAAATTGCGGAATATTTCTAAGCTTCCTTTAAATTTGACCATCATTTCCTCCATCATCACTCGAGCTACCAAATTTTCCTCTACTGCCTCTTTTAGCTTCCTTTTGATTGATCGATATCCATCGAGTGATCGCAAGAGATGCTCTGAAAGTGCCCGATTACGCTCCTGGAGGATAGCATTGGTATGTCCTTGTGTAATATCAGCCCCAACTACTAATCCTGCACCACCTACAGCAGACTTGTTGTAGTCTCTATGCTCTGAAGCACATTCTTTCACTTTCTCTGACAATGTCTCATTCTGTTCTTTCAGGTCGCTTATCAGTTCTTCCATTTCATTCACCTCATGATTCTTTTTCGCGAGTTCAGATTCCATGATTTCTTTCTCTTTCCCTAGGCTTGAACACATTGCTTCAAGACTCTTTCGTGCTGCCAAGCTCGCGTTCAATGCTTTTCTTAGCTTTTCTTGCTCATCAGCAACTAAATCTCCTCCGTGCTTGCTCTCCCTTGTGACATCCCTAGCCTGAACATCTGTATTGCATCGCCTCAGTTCTGCTTCTGATCTCTTATTCCCAACAAATTGACACTTTTGTATTCGGGTTCTAACATTGTCAAGGATGGTCATCATTGTAGCCACTCTTAGCTTTCTCCTCCCATCATTCTTTTGTTTGTGACAGGCATTGTTGTGATCTTGGATTAGTTTTAGCAGCAATTTCACATTTGCTGCAACCCCTGAAACATCAAAAAGGATCAACATAACAAAATTACTCGAAAATCAATGGAACCAAATAATGCACATTTGGCAATAGGTTTCCATGCTACGAGCCCTTCAAATTTTGAGACATTTTGTTAAAAAATTTTGTTCTTTTTTGATACCTAGGATCACAAGTCCAAAATCTTTTGAAATCTCTTTTGTCTGATTTTTTTTTTTATCCAAAAATTAACAAAAAGGATAGAAAAATGTATATTTCTTCAAGAACCGCGCTTCCTTTTAAACACATGATTTTCCAAAGTGACATTGGCATCAAATGCAAGCCAAAAGAAATGTAAAATGAAGCAGGTGAAAGAATCTACCTTCTAAACCCGAATCATCGTAATCATCTTCAGATGCAGAAGGAGTCAAATCTGGAGAAGAATGTACTCGAGATTTGCTCATATTTCTTCTTCCAAAAACAACTAGAAATTCTCAAGAGATAACAACAAAGGCTAAGCAAAACATGAAACCTTTCAAGAAATTGAAGGGAGGCAATAGGGAAGGGAATTAATGCTGAATTGACAAGAAAAAAGTGCTCTTTGGGGTTAAACAAAAACAATGTATAGAAGTAATCTAAGATATTTTGAGAGATCCAAAAAGAGAGGTAGCTTTCAACTCCCTCCCTCTTTGTATTATTTCTCTCAAATCCTCTCCCTTTCTCTGTATCTGGGCTGTCTTGATTCCTGTTGATTGTATTATTCAAAGTTTGATGGTGTTAGCTCACCAAAGAATGGTTGGTTCATAGCATTATATTTTGTTGTTTTGGCGCAATCAGTGGTCATTATTGGTTCCGTTCATTGGTTGTTGTTTGGTTTTGACTTCTTAGACAAAAATTTGCTATCTGGTTGCATGTGCCCAAAAGACCTTGCCTACTCTTTTCTTATTATTATATTATAGGAGCAATTTCACTGGCCGACTAATTATTTGGTAAGTTTAGTAGTTGATTTTTTATCAGTAAAATACTCCAAATAAAATTGTGAAACCCATTAGTTATACATGAGACACCATTCGAATCAAATTTTAGGACACTTATTTTTCAATTGGCAATAACATATTGATTAAAGGCCTATTACTATTAGATTTGCCACAAAGTTGATCCAAATCGAAATTAAAAGTTCTCCAAGTATAGTGCCTTAAGTACATGACATATACTTATGTCTACTTTAGAATTGCTTTTGGAAAAATAGTCAAATTTAGTTGAAAAACAAAGTATGAAGGAGTTTAAGATAAATTGGACTTAATCTAATCCACCCAAAAAAACACAGAAAAAAGTATTACTCAATCTTCACATTTTAGCACAATAGTTTGTTACCTTTTCAAAACTTTTCCTCTTTACTTGCACTAAGCCCGAATTTGATGGATTTGATGGAATTGCACTCAATCTTATTCACCAAAAGAACAAAAAAGATACATACATACATATATATATATATATATATATATATGTGTGTGTGTGTGTGTATGTATATATACATGTATGTATATGTAAGACTATTATTGAATTAATCTTCACATGTTTAAAAGTAGTTTCATGTTACCTTTCCAAATCTTTGTAGTTTTTATCGGCACCAGCCCAATTAGATAGATTTGCAATTGTCAGTTAAAAAGGCTCAGAAGCTATGAACAATTTTTTTTTTTTGCTTGAGTTTTCAGTTTTCCGCCCCTTCCAAGCCAACCTCCAGCTATCCTTTCTGTTTTTTATTCCCTTGCCGCATAATAGAAACTTATTATTATTATATACTTTAATTCATTCTCATTTTTGCTAATCCGAAAAACTTATTTTTATTAAGCTCCACTTTTCGTGGTGAATTCATGGATGAAATTACTTGCATTTCTTTCACACATTTCATTTCGCTCTTAATCATTGTCACATCTAACATGTTAGTCTTTTTTGGAGAATTAACATGTCAGTCTTTAACTTGTCTTTTGAGCAGTCTACCCCTTTCAATTGTTCCAACTCTATCAGAACACTTTCTTACCTTATTTTCACTTCTTTTTTTTTATTTTGCCTGTTATTCTTCTCTTCACCCAAAGTAACATGAAATTGCAAAAATATAATATCAAAATATATTTACAAATATTCATAAATAAATATATTTATATATTCATATAAAAATATATAAATGTATTATATTATGTATAATACATAATATAAATATATTTATAAATGTATATATGTATATTATTATAAATGTATAAATTATAATTTTTATATTTTTATATTTATATATTTATATACATTTTTGCATTTATAAATATTTATGAATAAATATATTTATATATTTATAAATATATATATATGTATTATAAATGTATTATATTATATATAATACATAATATAAATATATTGATAAATGTATGTTATTATAAATTTGTATAAATTATAAATGAATATTATATAAATGTATAAATTAATACATTATAAATATATATTAATATTATGTATAAACGTATTAATATAATAAATATAAATATATTAATATTATGTATAAATATATAATTAATATTATGTTTATTAATATAAATGTATTAATGTATTATATTATATATAATACATAATATAAATGTATATTATAAATATACATAAATATATATATTATGTATAAATGTACATTTATATAAATGTATAATATATATATATAATATATTATGTATATATTAAATATATAGTATATAATATATAATATATATAAATGTATAATTACATTTATATTATATATAATTTATATAATATGTAATATTTATATAAATATATTATAAATATATAAAAATATATTTTATATAAAACAAAATATTTATAATTTGTATAAATAAATATATGTAAATTAATATAATATATATATCCTATACATAATTGAAATATACAAATTGAAATAAACATATTAAATATGTATTTGGAGTTGTTTTTGATATATTGTTTGAATATGGTGTTTTTTGAGTTGTTTTTGAAATACACATTTACTGTAGCATTTGGAATGTGAAAAACAGTTTTTCAAAAACAGATCCAAAAACAAGAAATCCAAACAGACCCTTATTTTTATTAAGCTCCACTTTTTCGTGGTGAATTCATGGATGAAATTACTTGCATTTCTTTCACACATTTCATTTCACTCTTAATCATTGTCACATCTAACATGTTAGTCTTTTTTGGAGAATTAACATGTCAGTCTTTAACTTGTCTTTTGAGCAGTCTACCCCTTTCAATTGTTCCAACTCTATCAGAACACTTTCTTACCTTATTTTCACTTCTTTTTTTTTTTTTTTGCCTGTTATTCTTCTCTTCACCCAAAGTAACATGAAATTGCAAAAATATAATATCAAAATATTCCTCATGATTAGAATTTGAAGCTAAAAACATATTGTTAGCACAAACAATCACACAGTGGAAGTAACTTTAAAATTTTACAAATAATAAACAATAAGAAAGACACAGGAGGAAACAAAATATTCTGCTTTAATTCACTAATTTCTCTCAACTACAAACTTAGGATTCCAAGTCCTTAAATAGAGAAATATAACTACAAATCCTATCTAATTATGATACCAAAATATGACTCAACTTATTACCTAAACCAGCTGTGATACCAAATCTAATATAGTTGCCAAATAACATATCAATTTCTAAAACTATTAAAAATCTAAATATGCTTGGCTTAAAATATGTCAACAATGTCTCTCTTAAACCAAGCTTTCTAAGTTTTCAAGTCCAACTCCATCACGAGCAACAATTTCCATGCAAATCTTTGTTGTAGTGTAGCTAATTTGCAACTCCAATTTGTAATTAATCTTTAATTTCTTCTTCACATGTTGAGGTGGACAAAACTTGTATTTTGCATATAATTTTTTTGCTGATTTTCCTCGATCAAAAAAGTAATCCATATTGACCCGTTCACAATTAGAGCCACCATATTTTCTTGAATAATAATAACCCACACTATCTTCAAGGAAAAAATCATGCATTTCATAATCTTCTTTATGGCAATAATTTTTATCGCAAAAAATTTCCAATAGATTGAACCACATCAAAAATATTGTCATGCACATCATCATTCAAATCAAAACCTTCACTAACAATTTCTTTTCCATCTTCATCCACAATCAAATTAATGCACTGACTAACAAATTTTTCTTCATCAATCACCCTAAACAAAGTATGCAAATCATAATTTTTACCCATATTAAAAATTTCAAAAGTCTCTTTATTAACAAACATATCTTTTTCCAAATTAATTTCCCATGTCAAACCAAGTTTTGATTTACAATCAGACATAATCATACTCCATTGAAATGAAACAGAGATCTGGCCAAAAACATTTAGGCATTTCAGAATCAATAAAGAGTCTCATATATTATTCTTCAACCATGGATTTCGTATGATCCTAAAAAAAGAAAGAAAAGCTTTCCCTTCTTTTTCTTGAGTTCTTTTGGCAAAAGATAGAAAGAATTTAATTTAAAAATGTCACCCAAACCACACCTTGTCAGATATTTCTCCATTATTTACTTCCATTCTCGTCTTTCTTCAATGGGAAAAATGCACTTTTCATCCTCAAAGTTTGGGTTGTTGACCAATTTGACCTCAAAGTTTCTCCCAAAACACATTTCATCCTCAAAGTTCCGTAATTTTGGCCAATTAAGGACAATTGACGGGAATTTGCAAATTTATCGTTAGAACCAACTTTAAACCCAACAAAAAATGGGTAAAACCGAATGGAGCCATTTTTTAACAGAACAATAATTTGCAACGGACAAAAACCAACATTCTTCTCCTTCTTCCCTCTACCTTCTCCCCTTTGCCTTTCTGCAACCCCAAAATTTTTTGTGCAGCTTCAGCCCAAGACTGCATCTCCTGATATGCATCACACAAATGCAGTAACCACATTATATAAAGATCTGGAACGCCTTCTGTAATTTTAGTAGTATTGTCAAAACACTAGCGTATTATTACTTCCTTGGTGATCTTTACTGAAGTTAGGGGGCATCATGCAGGAAGTTAAATCCTTTTCGTGTATATATGCTAGTATTATATTTATATCTGGTACTCTTCTTTTTGGAGTTAGTATTGTACTAGTCCCTTTAGAGCTGAACAGTTCATAAAATAGTTTAACCCTATGGAAAGCTTGCCTGGCTTCTTTTACAGAGATCCCTTATGTGAAGTAGAATTTAGTTACGAAACAATATGCAACTTCAACTCGCCTCCACCATGCATTATGCATAGGTAATAGGGTAAGGATATAAGGGGCCAGAAATTGGGGCCATTGGTTTGAATTCAACAGCTATCATATACAAGTTACTAGGTTTCGAATGCATTTGTTACTTAGCATCCCCTGAAGACGATAGCATACATTGTTGTTGCAACAATTTTCTTCAATCTTCTGATTGGAGCAGTGTAGTATTATTCATGCTCATTGCTCTGTATGTGGTATCATCACAGCGAACTGCACATTTAGCTGACTTGGTAAGTTAAAAACCGAAGCAAAAGCTTCCATCTTGAATAGCAATGTATAGCACAGCACTCAACCCAGCAATTTCCAACTCAAATATTACTGGTTCTTGGGGGAGGATGTCCACTTAGAAATGCTTTGAAAAGTGTGAGAGCTTGGGAGGGAGAAGTGAAGGGGACTTCATGGGTTGTTCCCTTAACGGTAGCATATGTCAAGTGTGTATTGTTTTTACTGTTCTCTAATCGACCAAATGATTGACTTCAGCCCCCAA